TTAAATGGGCCTCGACTATCTCTACATCAGCCTTATACTAGGCTAGCATTTCCTCGACTTCGGAGGAATCAATCGAGGTTGCCTCCAATTTGGACTTCAGCGCAGTACATTCCTGGCCAAGGGTATCCCGTTTCGTGGCGGCAGAATCTAGTTGTGCCCGGAGTTTGTCATTTAGCCATGACCACTTGTCGGCCTTCTCCTTTGCCACCTGGAGCTGGTCCTTGACCGATGCTAGCTCCTCTTTTGTAGCCTCCTTTTTCGAGGCTAGCAGGTCCATCATGCTCCTCAGCGTCTCGGCCGTAGTCTTGACCTTATTCATCTCGGCCGGGAGCTGGTCGATCAAATCTATCTTCTCTTAGACCTACGAGGTTGCATCATTAGTCACTATGCGTAACGTCTCGTTTTTAACCTCAAAAATCCTTACCTGCTTGACCAGTTCGGCATGCTCTCATTTCACGGACGAGGCCTCCTTCTGTGCCTTTTCTAGCTCGGCTCAGAGAATTAGGAGGTCTTTGAGAGCCTCTTCTTGTAGTTCACTGAGAGCCCTATACATGTCCTTCTTCAAACCTTCTCTTTGAGCTAGAACTCGAGCTGGCTGACTTCCGTTCGAGACCGAAGGAAGCTTTCGTGATGGAGCACTAAAGCCTGAAAAACAAAATGATAAGATTGTTAGAACATGCTAAAACTAAGCAAGATTCGCAAAGGGCACAAGGAATAGGAAGCTTACCCGGTTCAGTATCTGTTATGCCTCGTTGAAGAGGCCTGATGTACCTACTTCGTTCATTTTTGCCTGATCCTCCTCAGCCACCAGGCAGCGAAGATAGCTGGCCACACCCACTGGAGCAGACAGCATCCGGGTGTCCACCGGGATAGTAAGCACGACCATTCTTTTATGGTCGGGATCCAAACTCGAAGCAGGGAACTACATCACCAGCTTCGGGCTCGAGCTTGGCTCACCTGCTCCCGATGGCATGTCCTTTTTTGGGACCTCCAGGTAACCAAGCCCGAAGTAATCCTCCAATGCGCCCATGTCCATGCCATCGTAAAGCATGTTGAGGGCCTCATCTGTGCTCCGTGTCGTCTCATTTGATTTCTCTTTGCCGGCTTGAGCCTCGTTGAACATAGACTCTGTGTGAGAAGGCGACTCCGCGATGTCGATGACACCGGCTATTTCCTTCGGGGCGGGGGCAGTTTCTCAAGAGGTCATGGCCTCTGATTCTCCTTCTGGCTCCTAAGCCAAAGGGGCATCGGCTTCTTAGCCACCTTCCTCGGGTGCCGCTTGTTCTCCTTTGTCGATGGTTGACCCATGAATGATAAACTACAAATCATCATCCTCGGGTTAATCCCTGAGCCGGAAGAGGGAATCGGGGTCCGGTACTCTGGCTTTGGTAGTCTTTTTGTTGCTTTTCCAGACCCGAACAGCTACCCTCTTTTTCTTCTTGACCTCGGCGTTCGGGGAGCCCGAGGATTTCCTCTTTTTCCTTTTCTTCTCCTCCCGTGCAACAGCCCTGGGTTGCCCCAAAACAGAGGGCTCAGCAAGAGAGGACGGGGCCTCTTCCTCGTCCAATGGTCGGAGCTTAGTGGTCTTGGACAAACCTGTGAAAAGGAAAAGACTTAGCAGAAATAGAAGTTAAGTATGAAAGTAGATTTGTTCGGGAGGAGGACCCACCGTGGGAACGAGCCTCCCACTTTCCCTTTGAGTGCTTGCGCCATTCGCTCTCGAAATAGGACATTTGTTTGTAGATCCCCATGACCCACTCCTTGAAGCAGGGGACAGGCGACCTCTACACAACAATGGGCACAAACAATTAGAAAAAGAACGAAGGAAGTACCAAGGACTTAAGAAGGAAGGAAAACTTACGGGATGAGTTCCACTTCTCAAGGAATGGTAAAAATTCGGGGGGAATAAGGTCTTTGGTTTTCACCTGAATGAACTTCCCCTGCCAACCTCAATCTCGATCTTTGTCGATGCTCCAAAATGGAGCTTTGCTTGCTCGACGAAAGAGTTTGATCAACCCCTGGAAAAACTCGGGACTGTATAGCTGAAGTAGGTGGTCGAGGGTAAACAGAGGTGCTTCGGTGTTTTTGATGAAGCGTCGGAGGAGGATTACGATACTCCAAAAGGACGGGTGAATCTGCCCAAGGCAGACCTTGTACCTTTTGTAGAAGCCAAGATTATAGGGCCCACTAGGGAGAGCATGAAGGGGTAAGTGTAAACACTTAGATACCCCTCCACGTGAGTGGTAATGTCTTTGTTGGTCCTGGGGACGATCACTTCCTTGCCCTCCCAGCTGCAGTCCACCTGAACTATAGGGACTGTGTCCTCGGTAACGAAACATATATACCTCCATACTCCCTCGCCTCGGTTCTGCTGACTGGAGGCCTTCTCGACTTTGAAGTCGTTCTCAATGGAGCAACCCCGGGGATGAAGTTCTTCAAACGAGGCTCTAGGGCCACCTCAGGAACGGCTACTTCGGCATTCGTGGCCGGGTTGGAAGTTGAAGGGACGGTCTGTTGAGGCACGGATTTAGAAGTTTTTGCCATCGGATTCTGGAAAATATGAAGGTTTAAAGGTAAGGATGAAGGTTTGAAGATAAGGATGAAGATTTGAAGATGGGGATGAAGGTATGAAGGTCTGACTTGAAAGTTTAAAGAAAGAGTATGAAGATTTGAAGATGAAGATATGAAGATCTGGAAAGCAGTATATGAGAGTTAAAAGGAGTTAGGAATAAGTGAAGAAATCGAAGGTAAGTCAAGGAGCTATGGAATCGGAAAGTAAAAAAATGAAAAAGAGATCGAAGCCGTTATAGAGAAAGGGTAATCAATGCGCGACGTTTCGCATTCGGGGCCGGTCAACCGCAGCTGACACGTGTTCGAAGTCAGAATGACGCAATTCATGGGATATTTTGTTGACCCGTCAACTCGGTTCTAGCGTATGGAAGAAGGAACTGGGGGTAATTTATCATTTCCCGTCGATTCGACAAATCTACTCTCCAGGAAATGATGGGACTATCTGTGTACGGGTAAAATCGGGTAAAATCGGGGACAGAGTCTTCCCCGATTCCCCAATGTGGAAACAAGTGGGAAGCACGGCCCAACGTGAGTATGATTGAGGCCCAAGGACCCCTCGTATCAAAACTCGGCGGAACGAACGGTGTATCTGAGATCGGGAACGGTGAAATAACGAACCCAGATCAAGTATAGCTTCCGGACTTTGGGAAACACGGAGAACGGTTATGCACGACAAGTAGGGGCCGTAATATCCGCCCTCAACCAAATAATACGGCGCGAATCCCGTTCAGTATCAACTATAGATCGACATTTACCGAAAAAAGAAGATTTTTACCGTATTTAGACTTGTACTAAGACTGGAATTCTGCTACTATATAAAGGGGAAGGTTTTCTTTATTCTGACATATTGTAACACGTAATTCAAAGCAATAAAAGTTTATTTTTGTCTCTAGCTATTATTTAAGGTATTATTCATTTGTTCTTTTCTTCACTCGCGACCGAGCTTGTACCAAGGGTCCAATCGAGGACGAATTCCACTGTTCAATCTAAGAGCAGGCTTGGTCATTACATTGCGATTGGTTTGATCGTTTATTTTGTCTTTAATTCATTTATATGTTCTTAATTATTCGTATTGAATTAAATCATGTATCCTTTAAATTGTATACAAATTTAATTGCTACTCATTTTTGGGTTAAACAACTATAAATTGATAAAATAAAAAAAAATCAACATACTACTTAATATAGTAATTAGAGTGAACAAATGCAAAACAAATTCCAATCTCTAAACTATACAAAGACACGTGTCCGCCATTTAACACAGCATTGATCATTACTGAAGCAAAAAACAAGGTGATTTCGAGGAACAATCACTTTTAGGGCTCCTAATTGAAACATAATCAATGTTTGCAAAGTATTGACAAATAAGCCGCAAACACCCACTTCTTCTTCTGCGCTTGGAGTTTGGTTCTTTTTCTTCTTTTTTTTAATATTGGCTTTTCTCTACCTATCATTTGAAGAATTGCTTCTCTTATTTTTCTGTAACTTTTGAAGATTTCGAAGGAGTTTTGATGTTGCCCATTTTGTTTATGGCAGATATATAACATCTGGTAATAAACAAATCCTATAATCTGATGTCATAATTCATAACGCGCGCGCACACAGAAAAAAAAAACTGTTAAATTCATGTGTATTTCTGTTTTATACAAGATTTTGTAAGAAAGACATGTTATTTACTTTTCTAGTCAAGAAAATTACTCATACGACCCAACTGTCAATGTAGTGTAGACTAAAAGAGTGTCACTCTAACAGTTGAATTTCTATTAGCAGAACTCAAGCTTTAACAAGTTAGTTTTGAATTTGACTTGTGTAAGTTTTGATATTTCGAACCTAGTGTTTCATTTTATATATTTCGAACGCATTGTCATGAAATTTCACTTGCAACAGTTCGATTTATATAAGTTTGTATCTCTAAGACTTAATAGGACACTTTCATAGAGTTTCACTTGTAGCACTTCCAACTTCACAAAAAAATTCTTGAAATTACGTGTCAGAATTTTTCAATTACTTTACTATATTTTAAATTGGTGACTATTTTTCAATTACTTTACAAAAAATGTCTATAATCCAATTAGTAGCCCTAAAAGTGGCTATGGTATTATTTTTGCTAACAATAGGACAAGAGAGCCGCTCTCGAAGAGCATTACTTAAATTCTTTAACTCCAACTCTAACATTCATTATGAAATAATAAACCCCTACTTTAACTATATTTTTATTTTTATTTTACTACTATATATATATATATATATATATATATATATATATATATATATACTTTTCTTTAGAAGAGCAAACGGTTTCGACATGTGTGCTTCAATTCTTTTCAACAAAGCCTGAGGGCATTTAGGTCATTTCACGTGACTACTACACGTGCCCTTCTAAGCGCTCTCCAAATACTACGTGTAGCAATACTAAATGTGGAGCTTTTAAGCTATTCCACAGATAAGCTTGACTTCCCTTTTCTCTCTTCTATACATTAGAGTTACGGACTCGGAGCTTACTCAGATTTTTTACTGTCTTCTCAAATTTCTTCATCTTGTAGGTAAATTTCTTATTCTTCAAAATCAATTTTGTTGGTATCTATGTGTTTTTTCTCCTTTTTTTGTTCCAATTTGTTTCAACCCACATACAATTGTTTTTATATCAATGTTAAGATCACTAAGCAATGGAGGTTTACCTCAAATTCATGAAAATAAACTGAATTAGAGACAGATTTTGTCTATATTCAAGAAGATCCGGAAATTTTCGAGTTAGGGTTTTGATAAATGAAATTGGGAGAACCTTTGTTTTTGGGGGAGATGAATTGAAATCAAGAGCTCAACTTTGAGTATTCAATTTCTTTGAAAACTTGTATTACAAAAACCTTTCTTTTTCTTCTTCTTTACTGAATTTTTCTCTCTATAATTTTCTGCTTGTTTATATTTGGATTTATGATAGTTTTTCTATTTTATTGTTTCGTGAAAAGTTTTTGGTTTTCAAGACGAATTATATTGCCTCTTGATATCGATAATAGTCATAAATAAAAAATGAGAGTAACAAAGAAAATAGGGAAAAAGAACGAATTGGGATGAAGGTGTTGACTGATTGATTAATAGAGAAAGAGAAAGTGGTAAGACTCCGATGCTACAGATTGAATTTGCAGGACTGCTCGAGAAATTAACAACTTTAATTGATTACATAACTCCATTAGTTTAGCCTCAACATTACACTGTCACCTCATAAAAGACAAAGATAGTCTCCAGTTTTCCTTAAAAATTGCTTCTAGATTATGACTTCAATAACTTCTGAGGAAGATTTTTGTGGTCGGACTAGCTGTTCCATTATGAGTTTTGAAAGAAAGAAAGAAACAAAGAGGAAAACATGAGTACAAAGATTAGGTGAATTGTCATCCTTCTACTCTTTGATTAGTCTGATATTAAAAGTTCATCTCTTATAAGTAATTCTCTTCAAAAATGCTTTAGTCAAGAGAATTGTCATCTCAATTGGGAGCCATAGATGTCCTTCGCTGTTTGCAATGCCAATGGAAAGGTGCATGCAAGAGAGCAGGTGGATAGTCCACTTAGAGTAGATATATAAAGAAAGAAAATAAAGAAATGTGGAGTATGTTGTATTGGAGTGATGAGTTATAGTTCCATGGAATTCAAAAGTAAAAAAGATTTAAGTAAAAAGTAGCTGCTATGTGGATTATTCTTTGGATTCATGGGGAACTAAGTAGGAAATAATGGTAAAGAAAATATTTTTCTTATAACATTTTCCTGAACTAAATTTCAAGGGAAACATTAATTTGCTTTGTCTAATTTCTTAAAATTGTGCTTCAATGTGAAAACATCTGAACTTTCAGGTCCATTAATGAGGATATAATCATTCTAATATCTTTTTTGATAGCCGTCATGTAACTCTGTCCACCAAGGCTTGGACATAAGAGAAAAGATCACCAAATGTTTTTACTTCCGCTAAAAATCATTCCAATATCTTGACAGAGATTAAACGAAAGATATGAAGTTTAATGTTTCATAAAAGTCTGAAATAAAACAATCAACAGAGATGTATGTTAGCGGAAGTTATCTATTTGGTTTTGCTTATATTCCTTTGAAGAATATAGTGTACGAACTTCAAAGCACTATATCCTCATGTTACAATATCTTTGGAGTTTATATAAGCCTTTCTGTTGTGAAACATAGACTGAAAAAAGTATTCATCATATCTTTAGAGGTCCAACAATTTCAGACATGATTGCTGAATGCACATTTTTGTTACTGAATGAGATGGCGGGAATTGACATTCTGTCCCAGATCAAGTGATGTCAAATAGCCATTTTAATACACAGTGGCTGTTATCATATTGATAAGAGTTGACATTTACTATCCATATAACCTGTCTGACGATACAGAATAAAGTGCGTCCAGCAAGGGCATTTTATCTTTTTTCTTTCGCCTTACACAGGTTTGGTTCCTGAGAATCTTGGTGCGTGTTCTAATTTGGAGTTTCTTGATATTTCCAACAATAATTTCTCTGGTAAGTTGCCTGGTGATACCCTCTTGAACTTGAGTAATTTGAAGACTATGGTCTTGTCATTCAATAATTTTATTGGTGGTTTACCTGAGTCTTTCTCCAATTTGCTGAAATTGGAGACTTTGGATGTGAGTTCTAATAATATCACAGGGATTATTCCTTCTAGTATTTGTAAAGATCCTATGAGTAGCTTGAAAGTGTTGTACCTTCAGAATAATTGGTTTACAGGCCCTATACCTGACAGTTTAAGCAACTGTTCTCAGTTGCTGTCACTTGATCTTAGCTTTAATTACTCACACATAAATAACTAATTTTATCTTTACAGAAAGGACTGTTGCCTCTTGTGAACGCGCAAAAGCTACTGACTGGCAAGATCTTCAAGATTCAAATAAAAAAGCTGTTTACAAGAAACAATGAGGCAGGAAAGTTAATTATTTTGTCTTTCATGGACAAAACTAACTTGGTTATCTCAGAAATGCCAGCCACCATCAAGGAAGCTGGAGAAGGAAGTAAACGAAAAATTGAACACGTTGCCCCAGAGAAGCAAGAGCAACCACACACAACAACCAATGGCAACGGTTCCCACAACAAATGTAAGGCGGAAATGAAAATTTCCCCTCCGAAAAACTGCTGAGAGGTATTTGAAATTTCTATTCCTTTTAAATTTAATATCAAATTCAACTTCGTAGAAAAAACAAACCACTTAAACGACTACGATTTTTTAGCGCTTTTGCCAGCGAAACATCTTTTGCTACTATTTTGGGATGTAAGTGGAGCCACTTTCTGGATGCTTCTCTACCAGGAATATGTCATGCTCACACGAGGTTAGTATACTTGATTACAAATCTAGATTTTTCCAAAATCTTTCATACCAATCTATATAAAGTCATTGCAACTGTTTCATATTAGTTTGGGAGAAGAAAGAAAAAAAACATTTACGTTCGAAAATGATTGTTTTGAAATTTAATATTCTATCGTTTTTTTATTCAATCTTCAAGAGTTGCTTAATTTGTGCATTACAAAAATGTCCTTGGAGAAATTATGATGTGCATTACAAAAATGTCGATGGAGAATTATGACTGTTTTCGTATCTTAAAGTTTTGAACTTTCGATTCTTGGTGCTCATTTCTTGTTTTTATGGGACTACAAAGTCTTAAGTTTTTGTGGGGTTAAGGTTTCTGGTTCAAAATGATAAACAAACTTTATTAGATTTTTATTCACAAGTTGCCTCATTTGAACCCTTTAAATTCGCATGCAAATTCTGCAATTTGCAAGAAATGAACTGCAATTACATGTAGTAAAGATGGATCTAGAGTAATAGCCCTAAGGTTACCTTGGTTTGGTTTCAATGATCCAATTCCTAATAATACTTTCAGCCGTTTAGCTACTTTACAGATCTTGAATCTTGGATCCTGAAAAACTTGTCTTATCTTTACCTTCCTATGTGTTGTTATCATTGCTCTTATGTTTTTATTCCTTTATTATATGTAATGTATCCTTTTTCTATTCTTCAATCTCATAGCATATGGCCTGTGTTGAGTACTTAATGCAGTCTTGAAATATCATTTATCACTTCAATACAGTAAAGAAATACAGAAGCAAAATGGGAATGTAAATGATGACATGCTTCACTTGATATTTTTTTTCGTTATTGTATTTGTCTTGCTGAAATGCATTTCCTTTCCAACATTTCCTCATCTTCTGTCAAAAAAAGAACAAGGTATAAATAACTAACATTTATTATGTTTGCAATCTATTAGATTCTTCAACATGTCAAGTTAGTTTTTATTTAATTAGTAAGAGCAGAAAAGAGAATTGACTTAGGTAAAATAATGTTAAAATGATAAAAATAAATAGTATAAGGAAAAGAGGTAGGATGAAATTATCAAAATGAAAAAAGATAAAAAAAAAGGATTAAAAACCAAAGGATAGATTATCAACAAAAAAAATGACAAAAAAGGGAAACGAGAATTCAAAAATGTCATCGGATGAAAAAAAATTCAGAATGTTAATTCATGATTTAAATTGATCTTTCTTGATTCGAACTATTAAACAACTATTTTTATCTTAGTTACTTGAAATTTTACCATCTTATGTATTTATCTTTGCATAACTTTCAATGGAGCATAGGAAAGCTTTGCTTTGAGTACGACACGGAGCCCTACTATCAAGCTTTGGATGTAAAAGTCAAGGTAAAATTTCTTTCCAATTGAGGAAAAGTTTAATTTCCTAAAGGCAAGCTTAGTAAGATCCCAAATGCTGTTTCTTGGTTGGTTACATAAGTTTTAAATTAAGAAGCTTTTTGCTCACATAATGAATGATTTGGTTCTTGACTAAAGAACATTTACTTTTGCTGTGCAGAACCACGCTTCTGTAGCTGGTGTAGAGATTTTCTCTCCTGTGAGTCACACCTTCTACAATCCTGCTGCATCCTGCAATGTGCCAACGGTAAATTTTGAATGTGTTGGCGAACTGACTATCTTTCTCCAATAATTGTGAGGCTCCCTTTATGTGTGCCCTGCATTGGTAAATTTTGAATGTGTTCGTCATATCTTGCGGATAAAATCAGAACTAAGAGCAAAGCACTAAAAAATGAGTTTGAAAGATCTGTGTTAAAATTTTCGTTAGCAGGACACTTGAACTTCCTTTCTAGATACAACTGAATTAACAAATAACGTATAGTCTTAAGTTCATCTAAACACAATAACTAGGTACCACAAACACGTATCTGTTGTTTTAGTTTATGCATGAATTATTTCATCTGATTTTACTCCCAGTTCCTGAATAAACCATTATCATGTTCTGTATTTCCCAAATTCTAGCGTAAATACAAAAAGCTTCACTTCTGAAGTGGTTAATTCTCTCACCTCAATTTTTGTGTCTCAGTTGTCACATTTTAATTCATTTTTCTGTCTTCTTCTTTTCTTAGGAATTCCACTACAAGTTTTGCTAATTTAGTAAATATTGTTTGCATGTATTCAGATGTTTTGCGACTAACGTGTTGTGTATTTTTTAAGCATTTGTATATTGTATTCCATGTAATCTTCTAATTTACAACATATTTATTTGTTTGCAGATATTTTTGCTGAAGAAAAAGGACCAAAAAGAAGAACAAAAACCGCATATGTAAATAGTTGTATCATACATGTTGTAACTGCTGTGTTGTAGTAGTTCAAAATATATGTAAATTAATTGTGTATCGCTTAGTATAAAATATTTTGTCAGAACATGCCCATGCTCTCTACGACATCTTAATTCTCATCTTAATTCTCATAGATTTTTTACCAAATGAACAGCAACGCTAAAAATGAAGTACAAAACTCACACTTGGCAGATCCTTCATCAAAAATGCTTCTGACAAAAGCACCTACGATAGACGTAAAAGTAACTGCAACCACCCACCCGTAACAATTATAAACTTCAATCCATCACGCACAGGCCATCCTCGCCTAGTATTAATAATATATACTTACAGGCAGCTTAAGGTCAACATGCCTGCTTAGGATTTACTGGATATTTTGGTCATTTCAAGTTTATTAACAGATCAACACGTGGATTGCTTTTTTGACAGCTGCAAAGTAATTAACAAAAGCTCCTGCAAACAGACGCCGCCCTTCTCTTGCTCATCCCTTGCTCATATGCTCTTCCCTCGCTCATCTTCTTCTGATCTTTGCACTTTGGCGGATTACTCTGGTAATTACTCATCTTTGTCTCTTGTAATTCTTCTACCATGACTTTCATCTTCCCTATGGGTTTCGTCTCACTGCTGTAGAAGTATGGATTTTTATTTTTATTTTTAGAGTTTGAATTTATGGTTGTCATATGCTTTGAAAATCTTACTGCTTTTCTTGGATTGTTCAATTAGTTGGCTTTATTATATATTTATACCCACTTCAACATATCGATTCTTTTATATGAACTTTTATCTTTGGGTTTCTTTTCTAAGTTGTGAAAAATCGATGTTTTCTATGAAATTTCATCGGATTTTACTCGCAGCATCTCTCCTCCTCTCTATCTTCTATCGAGTTTTCAATCATGTTGGGGAACTGAGTGAAATAGGCGTTTAAATTAGGGATTTCTATTCTCACAGTTTATTTCTCTCTCTCTCTTTTTCTTTCTCTGGGTTCCATCCCATTAGTTTTTTTTCTTTTTGAGATACCCATCTCACAGACTGAAATCTTTGATTTTCTGCCTCTCAGTGTAATTTCCTTATCAAAGAACTCAGCTTTTCTGATCTTTAATAACAACTTATTTCGCATATCCATAAGTGCAATTTCTTGATCTTTTTGGCTGATTGAGGCAAACCCACATAAGGAAAGAAATCAATCTAATCACTCCATTTCAAGCCTTAGAGAATCCGACTAAAAAGCCTATCTTTTGCTTTCGATGTATTGAATTCGAATTCTATTGAAAAAATTTGCATACACAGTTTCCCGTTTGACAACAAGATACAACTCAACAATCTTAATCAATCCCCTATATGTGCAAGCAACTGAATTACGGAATTGGTACAATACAAACTGTGCCTAAAATGTACCACATCATTATTTAACTATTATTTCTTCTGTGAAAAAATAAATGTCTGACATTTCCCGTGCGAATTACAGGATAAATGAGAACAAACAAATGCTAATGGAATACACAGTGAAAAGTTCAGCGGAGTCAGCTTCATAGCTTAGTAGCTGTTGACAATGAAATATTATGTGTTTCAGCTATTGCTACGCAAACTTCCACTTTGAGTTCATTAAATTACAAAATATTTTACTTGCATGATGATGCGCTTACTATTTTGTTGTTGGTGCGTCCTGGGATTGAAAGGTATAAAAATGTATCCCCTACTGATCTGACTCCAGCGGATTCTCGAGAAGCCAATTCTCTCTCTCGATCTAGATCTACTTTACCGACAAGAGCTCTTAATGAATGAGCAATGATTGCAGAATTGATCACTATATTACATCCTATTTGTATTCTACGTTATCTTAATATTTGGAAATGATTCAAACAAAAATATGCTAAAAATGGCTGTTTGAGGTAAGTGGGGAGGGTGAGTCTGGTGAATTTAATTTTGCCTTACGGTAGCTTGAAAAGGTAAAGTAAAAATCATAATTTTTGTTTGTCTTACGTTTAAAAAAAACTAAGAAATGTTGGTTGGATTAGCTGCTGTTAAAGTGTCACATCCATTGGTAGTTGAATATGCTAGTGGGTATAATAGAAAGTGTCATTCTTTAATACAGTAATTCTCAACGAAAAACTAACAGTGAGATAGGAGGTTGGTAAAGATTGGTTGTACTTTTGTTGTTCCATATAATTACTGTTGTTTCATTAAAAATTTGTGCTTCATTTTTTATGTGCTTGATATGAAAATATTAATAGTTTACTTTGCACAAAGTGACAGATCAGATATCCGCTTGTTTTGTTTTAGAAAATGGCGATCTCTGCATGTTCTATAGGAAATCTAAACGAATTATATTCTGCCAACTATATGTTCCTCTCTTTCACTCTTTTATTGTATACCACATTCTTGTTGTACATTCTTTCTAATAGTCCGTTAGATTTTACTGTCACAACACACTCCTCATGAGGTTTTACTAACTATGCAACTTTATATTATTTCGTCGCTGAAAATTATGCGGAATTAACAATTGATGATTTAGTAAGTTCCATTGCTTATGTTGTAAACATAAACCTAATGACTTGTTTCATTATTTACATTTTGCAGGCGAAAACTTTTTACGTCGAAGGAGAAATTTCGCTACCTGAGCATTTCCAACGATTTTATCCGCTAGGTTGTTCTGAATGTAACCATCTTGTTCGGAGCAAAATAAAAAGGGAGATCCAATGCATAAACTGCAGGCTGCCACGAATGTTAATTCCAAGGTAACAACTGCTACTAATAAGATTATGTTATTGACAATATTTGATATTGTATGCCATCCATTGTACCTCAACTGAAATAATTTACAACATACCATATCATAAGTGCCACTTTGAGGTAGAAATTACAGACGAAACTGGCACAACAACAGCAACAGTGTCTGAAGGCTTGGGCGAAAGAATGTTATCAATGAGAGCTGAACAGATATATGATATCATCAATGTTAAGGTACATACACATACAGCATTGCAGTTAACATAAGTCAACAAAGTTACTATAATACTCTGATGATTAACACATAAACGTAAGCTTTGACAAGTCCATTATTTTTACTCTCTGTTTGCAGAATGAGTTATTCCATGTTGCCCATATCAATCAACTACTTGCAGATAAACTGTTCAGAGTTCAGCTACAAAGGTCATCATCCAGAACACCAGACAAAAATGCAGGTTCTCTGGTTCTTTTATCATACACTGAAAAACCAACCATGTTTCTACCAGAAGAGTCAACATCTGTGAGTGGTGCCGACAAAATTATGGAAGAAGAGCCAATAGTTGTGACTGATGCAAAAGCAACTAAGAAACGAAAAAGGGAACCAAGTATTCTACCAAAGCCACAGTCAAGGTTAGAAACTCAAACACCATATTTCACCATGTACTAATTTTCTTAAAATGAATATTTTATTTGTACAGATTGTCGAGGCAATGATGTTCGCTCAGACGGTATGCGATGTACAGACACATTTTGACAAATCATTTTAACAAAGTTTAGATAGTTGGCGCCTTAACAAAGTGTTCCGCATTTTTTGCGTAAATAGTTGTCAGTAGCGTGTGCCTATATTTTTGAAGGCAATTGATATTACTTTTTGGATATTGGAGCGGCCAGATGTTGTAGAATGACATCTTATAATTAGGATCCATGTACATTTCCAAAATTGTGGTACCAGTCTGTTTATTGAAATGTAGAAACTGAATGTAGTGTTGTTGCATGTCCTGTCACATTTAAGAAGTATTATGAGCTGGTTGACATCAATGCAATAAACATGCTCTTCTATGCAAAGATTCAGTAATTGCTATGAAGAATATCTTTAGGTTTGAGATTGAGTAATTGCTATGAAGAATGTATCTTCAGGTTTGAGATTGAGTGATCTGGTGCCTTTAGGCTCAACTAGATCTTGGATGCATGCTAATTAGTACCTGTATCATGTGAAACTGAATGACTTCAGTATTGATCTACTGTTTTCACACCAAGATGACGGGATGATGATAGCTAGCCTTACAACAGTAGAAGTAACCAGTAACATAATTTTGATACCTTGATTTAATCATAATCTTTTTAAGTGTTTAATCTAATACAATATATGACGAAACAATGTATAATTTTCTTCATATTGGCCCGGGCAAAGCCTACTAGTACTATTTAGAAGCGGGAATAAGTAGGACAACGAAGTCCTGCTTTAGGGTTATTTTTGGCATTTCAAAATTTTATAATTCGTGTGTTTTAAAGTTGTTGTGGGTGTACTTTGGCTTTGTTGGACACGTGTCATAAACACCGGTCACCCTCTTTAATTTTCTATCTTACCCTATTCTCTCCCTGTCTCTCCTCTCTGTCTCTCTTTTCTTCCTTTAAGCTGCATTGTTCATTTGTTTGTGTCGTTGATTTTTTGGTTAGTTCATCCTCATAGAATTGAACTATTCTCTTCAAATCTCAGCAGTGGGCACACATGAGTATACTTAGGATTCAATTTGCATGGATTGAATTTTTTTCCGCTATAACTCTTCAAATGGAAACAAGACTGGAGAAGATGACTACTTAGCGAGAATAAGGAGGTCTTGGTCGTGTAGGGATATTTTAGTCTTTTCAGCATCTTTCAGACAGACTACGCCTACAATTTTTCTTTACGGCTTCTGTTCATGCTTTTTCTTTCTCTCTCTACATACGTAGCTGTTTCTGTTCTCAGACGTGTAACGTTAAGATCCTCTTGTTTTTGGTGCTTTGAGTTGTTTTCCTACCTTGAAAACACCTGCGTTTCACGGAGATCAACAATATATTTTGGGGGTTAAACATTATCTCTTCAGCTTTTTATGGGGATTAGCAATATATTTTGGGGGTTAGACATTATCTCCTCGGGTTAGATTACTTCGATGCCCTTGTTTTTGGCAAATTTGAGCTTTACTTTTAAGGTTATATTGGACAATTTATTGAAGTGTTTAGCTATGATAGCTGAATAAATTCTGGATTACACTCTGTTTTGCTTGGGTTTTCTCTCATATTTCTGGCTCCGCTTCTCCACTGTTCACCTTTTCGTCTGTGTGCTCGTTTCCTCGGAGGTTATTACTTTGTTTGATCTTAAATTTTACGATTAGATTAGATAGCTTGTTGAATTTTTCAGTTGTCTGACATTTATTAACTACCAGTTACAAAAGTTAAAGGGATAAAAACTACCATATTAACTGAAGGCGACTTTTTGATGAGCAAAGCCAACGGATTACGAAGAAAGAAAGATAATAACTCTATTTATATAATCAAAAGAACCCCGTATGGCAGACAGAAACTTATACATTAATGTATAAATAAAGTGTTTATGGAGTTTTTTGGGTTATATCTGTGTATACCTGTTGACGCTCGAGTGAATGGGCGCTGGTATTCCCTTTATCCCCCTATAGGATCCATCACTATCGTAATTTCTTTCAAATTACGTTTTAACCTGTTGTAGTCTCATGGCAATTTCTTTGTAAATTTGATTTGCACCCACTGAACACTCACAATGCTATATCAATTTTTTTTCTTGTACTTCGGTTCGTAGTAGATAAATCTTATTTGATTCTCAGTAAGGAATTGAAGTAATCTTTCGAACGGACTCAATATGCTTCCAAAGGGAACTAATATATAAAACAATCAGGGGAATCTTTTACTGATGTATGTCTAAACTTATCCTTTCATTAAGACTTACTATTGTTACCTACATACTTTCCATGTTAATATGACAGGGATAGCGTGAGAAGGAAAGAGATGAGTTTTTTGACGAATTTCTCTCTATATATTTGCATATATACTTGTGAAACTTGTCGTGCTTTTCTGTGGTTGTGACTTCACCACAAAACGTATTGTTGCTTTACTAATCTATAGGTTAAAGAAAGGGCGTTTTATTTCGTTCTTTTAGTATCCGAATTAGAGAGTTTGTGCTAGCAAGGCGAAACTTCTGGATTTTTGTATAGTGTGGGTTTAATTTTGTATAAGGATATCACACTCATGAACCTAAGCAGTACGGAATTGATTTGTGAGCAGGATAGAAATATATTTGCTTAGCTTACATAGTGAAGCCTTAGAATAGCTGATTAGGCATCGAAAGATTCCTATGAGTAAACAATATACCCGAGGTAAGTAACTCTGTGCGTAAAAATTATTTGGATTAAGCAACTACCATAAGGAAAGTGACAAGGACAACTACAGTCCTTTGATCTTTTAACATCGACTCTATTGGATCGCCCGTTGCTTTCTTTAGTTCTATTTCAGGCTTTCCTTCAGAATTTAATTAGGAACCCACAAACCTTATTTCTGCTTATAATAGCTAAGTGGATCTTTAAATGCCAATCTTGTCTCCTTAAATTGCCAGAAGCGTAAGGAAAGTGGCTTCTTTATTGCCATTGTTAATCTTGGACAAATAGGTCACAGGCAGAAGATAGCGCTATCTGCCAACAAGACTAAAGCTCTAAACTTTAAAAACACCTTAGTTATGCAATACTATGTGGTTAACAAACATCAAACTGTATTTAGCTTTTTCTACTGTTTCTCCTCCATCAAACTGTACTGTTGTTGTTCTCCTCCAGATTAGAAGTATCTACATAGCTTTGACTCCATTAGTAGATAACTGTTTTGAGGCATCTTAAGTTGAAATATGTGTGAGGTGTAATTTGTTATAATAGGATTTTAAGTGATCAGCTTTATAACCATCCATACTGATTTTTTTAAAAGGAAGTAAGGGAAATTTCATTGAAGGTACTAAGAAGACGCACAGGGGAGAACATGTGTAACGAATGTTGAGGATATCATACTCATGAACATGCCCCTCTGTGACGACCCTTTGGGTCATCACCGGATTTCTCTCTTTTTTCGTGCTTCCGAGGCTTTGAAAACCTCACCTTTAGTTGCCTCGATTTGCGTGCGCAATCCGGGCGCGTAGCCGGAAAGATTATATGTTAAATTCTGTGAAAATTTTCAAAATGTGGCTTTAAAATGATTAAAGTTGACTTCGGTCAACATTTTTGGTAAACGGATCCGGACCTGTGAATTGACGGTCCCGGAGGGTCCGTAGAAAAATATGGGACTCGGGCATGTGCCCGGTGTCGAAATCCGAGGTCTAGAGTCCGAGAAAAGAATTTTTTTGTGAAATTGTTTTTCTGAAATTATTAAGGAAAATGAAAATGAAAATTGATTAAAAGACTGTGGTATCGGGTTCGTATTTTGGTTCCGACGCACGGTACAAGTCTTATGTATGGTTTAAGCGCTTTTTGTGGAATTAGGTCGAAATCGGACGTCATTTGACGTGTTTCGGACCAAATATCTAAAGTTTGAAGTTTATGAAGATAGAATGAAAAAAATGATGATTTTGAGGTTTGATTCCTCGTTTATGATGTTATTTTGGCGATGATCGCACGGTTAAGTTCGTGGGATGTTGTTGAGTTAGTGTGTGTGATTGGTTAGGAGCCCCGAGGGCTCGGGAGTGTTTTCGGAGGTGTTCGGGATGTTTTTAAATTTAGAATGATAGCAAATTTTTCTGCAATTTTTGCTCAGATAATTGCTTCTTCGCGTTCGCAGCACTCAACTCGCGTTCGCGTACCAGTGGGCTTTCCCTTCTTCGCGTTCGCGTAGCCTTGGTTTCCCCTTCACCGCGTTTGCGAGCCCCATCTCGCGTTCGCGTACAAGCAAATCCCGGATCCAGCCCCATCCTTCTATGCATTCGCGACTAGCATCTCGCGTTCGCGATGCTTTGACTCATCTACCCTTCGCGAACGCGGCTCCCTTCCCGCGATCGCGAAGGGCATTTTTGCCCAGTGATTTTTAAAGCTCAAAAACATACCAGTGGCGGGATTATTCTCAAATTTCACACGAGCTCTTCTTTTCCACAGCCCCTAGGTGACTTTTAGAGCGATTCTTCACCAAAGCTTCTTAGGTAAGTATTTTCTAACTCTTTTCTTCATTTTCTATCATCATTTATCAAATTTTTAGACCTAAATCATGTAACTTAAGGTGTAAATTGGGGAAAAGGGTAGAATTAGGGCTTTTCAATTTTTTTTTGATTTAGACTTCGTTTTGGGGTCGAATTTGAAAACAAATTGTATATTCGGGCTCGTGGGGGAATGGGTGACATGGAATTGGTTCGAACCTCGGGATTTGACCAAGCGAGCCCAGGGTCGATTTTTGGAATTTTGGGTAGAAAGCTTAGAAGTTCATATTTAGGCATTGGGTTTAGTTTGTTTAGCTATTATTAATATTGTAAAGTCATTATTTCATAGATTTGACTGAGTTGGAGCCGAATTCGAGGGGTAAAGTTATACTAGAGGCTTGAGTTAATTTTGGAGCATTTGAGGTAAGTGTTTGATCTAACTTTGGCTTGAAGGAATAGGATTAGAGTGTTATTATTTGCTAATTGCTAAATGATCGAGTACGGTGTATAGGCATGGTGATGAGTATCTATACACCAGTGTCTAGCATGATCGTGGGTCCTTGTATGTACTTATCCTGAAATTGTTACGACTCTTCCATGTTAATTGATGAATTCTATGCAATGTGAAGAGTATGAGGACTAATTATGAATTGTAAATTCTTTGGAGCGTTGGCTCGAACGATAAAAAGACTATTGAGTAAGAAATGAAAGAAAGAGAAAGAGATATGATTAATCCCTTGCCAGGATGGTTTGAGTATATTGATTATCTCCCTTGCCGGGATGTGAAAGTATTGTTGTTGCTCCATTGTCGGGATTTTTTTTAGCTGTTAATTGTGTAATTCCCTTGCCGGGCCATTCCTTATTATTTGTTTATCCCTCCGCCCCGTTTGGTTGTGATTACTGTTTGGGTGAGGAAGAGTGATAATGCACGAAGGGTGATTCCGTGCCATGCTTTGGTTATATTTGCACGAAGGGTCATTCCGTGCCATGTTTTGATTATATTTGCACGAAGGGTCATTCCGTGCCATGATTTGAGAGTATGAGAGGGAAAGCACGAAGGTTGATGCCGTGCACTTTACTTGATTACTTTTGGTGAGGATGAGAGTAAAAGCACGAAGGTTGATGCCGTGCAACTGTTGACTTTCCTGCTCTCATTAATTGTTGTTATTGCCCTGTTGCTTGCTTAAATTGTTGACTTTATATTCGGACTGTATTTCCCTCATAGTATGCTCCCCTCCCTCTTAACTGTTTAATTTCTTTGTTCTTTTCTTTTATTGCGCATATATATATATATATATATATATATATATATATATATTGAACTGTACAGGTTAGTTTGGTAGTCCTGTCTAGCCTCGTCAGTACTTCGCCGGGGTTAGGCCAGGCACTTACCAGCACATGGGGTCGGTTGTGCTGATGCTACACTTCTGTGCTCTTTTGCACAGATCACGGTACCGGAGCAGCCTTTGGACCACAGCAGTATGATATTGATCGGGAGCTGACTTCAGTCCAGGGACTTACGAGGTAGCCTAGCTGGCGTTCGCAGGCCGGAGTCCCTTTCTATGTTTTCAGTTTGTTTTCATTGTACCGAGACAGTCATTTATGCATTTTCTATTCAGACTTGTTTGTAGCACTCTTTAGTAGATCGTGAGATAGTGACACCAGTCTTGGGTAGAGAAATGTTAAACTTTCGCATTTTTGGGTTTTCAGTTATTTATATTTTAAAGACTTCCGCTTTTATTTAAATGACCCGTTATATTTATATTGTTATTGTTTTAGAGGTGAAATCGGGCAATGTCTAAAATATTTGGCTTACCTAGCTCCGTTAGTAGGCGCCATCACGACTCCCGATGGTGGAAAATCTGGGTCGTGACACCCTCGTTTCCTCGACTATTAAAATAAAATCTTAAGCATAAAGACTAAAGAATCCTCCACCCCATGATTCAGGAATCTTTGTTCTCCCCATTAAGATAATCAACTTTTTTCTTCGATTACTTCTTCACCTAATAAAATTTAACCTACTGCAACCTCTCCTAAATAGAGATTGTAGAATTTCTTTACTGTTTTCTAAAAGAGCTTTGTTGATCCTCTTACATAGTATTGCAACAGCTAGTTTGACCCTCAAACTGATTCGTCACTTGTGCTTGCGCCAGATGTTGTACCAATTGTTGATATCCCGTCGCAATCTCCTGTATGTGTATTTCATGCATGCTAATACGTGTACATATAAAGTACTTTAGTATTTTAACCCCAACTCAATAAATCTACTTATATCCCCCTCTTCCGCAGATACAAGTCTTTGAAGTGGAAGGTAAATTATCACTGCCAAATGACGACCAAGATTTCTATGAATTATTGTGCTCACGCTGCGGGCAGCGGTATCGAACTCATTCGCCCAAAATTATTCATTGTGCGAGCTGCAAAGAACGTGCGATGTTAACACCCAGGTATTGCAACTTCGAGTCCAAGCGTAAAAAATATGTTCATTCGACATCTTCAAACAAAAAAAGTATCTTCTGTCATTGGCATCATGAAAATCAAACAACGTATATCAAGGAGATCGGTTAATTTACTTGATGCTTAAATCATGTTCTCTTATATATATACACGCTAGCTTTGGTAGTACATCATGAAATATTTAGTTTATGAATGCCTCTGCTTGTAAAACTCAATATGGTAGATTTGCTATTTCATGTTAAAAAAACTTTACTCCATTGAAGATTTGTTACAGTCCAGAACATAAAAAAAGGAGAACTGAACAGTTTCATGTTTCTAAAACTTAATTTTTTTGGGTTTACGAAGAGCATTTTCATTCTTTTCTAAGAGACCAAGCAAGTCGACTGTTGCTAACAACTGTTTCTCCTGTGGGGTTCTTAGTGTTAACTGTGTTTTTTCTTTTTTGTTGCAACTAGAGCACGCTTTGAGGTTGTAATGACAGACAACAGTGGATCAGCTGTTGCAACATTAATAGGTGAATTAGGAGAGAAATTTCTTGATATGACTGTCGCGGATATCTGTGAAATAATCTCCGTAAAGGTATGTTGTTGATGGCAATTGGAGAAACTTTGTTAAAATTATGATACTGTGAAAGCAAGTGTACTCTTAGTTCTTTCTATTTTGTCTTCCTTAATGTCTGCCTTTGGGTGTACTGAAATTACGCACAGATTGGTAAAACATTTACTTCCAATGAACGAAAAAGTAAGGTGTCCATTAATTTCTTATGCATCCCAAGTACTTTATAGGCTAAAAAATAGTATATTACTTTTGACCACCATCTTGATGTGTTAAATTCATGTTTTTCTCTCCTGCAGAAACAACCATTACCTCTTGAACATGTTCGACAGCGTCTTACTCATAGACTGTTCAAGATACAACTGCGTAAAACATTTTCTAGAACTTCTGCTATGCGGTTGTTCATTGTGTCCTACTTTATCAAGGAAGATTTATTTCAGTTGCCCGAAGCAATTGCCTCTGAAGAAATTGGAGAAAGCAGTAACACTAAATTGGAAAATGTTGCAATAGGGAAAGAGCTGAAGAAAGAATTAGAAAGCGGAGAAAGCAACCACTCGAATATGGAAGAAGTTACACCTAGAGAAGAGCTGAAGAACGAGTTAACTACAGAAGGTAGTTCTTCTACCAAAAGGCAACAAACTGAATTGGAGAGCTCCCCCAAGAAAAATGAAGGTTAGTAAACTCTATCTCTACTTTTTCATTTCTCCTTTTAACATGCAGAATAAATAACTCTAACAAAACTCAAAGAAAAATAGACATAACAATGATGTAAGCACCTGGCAAAGGTGAGGGAAAATTAGAAGATTTCCTCTTTTGATCATTAACATACTCTTTATGGAACCATAGTGAAATTCCAGCAAGAGCAACTGCTGGACCACCTACTGTAACAGCAGTTCCTAACGGTACTGTTTGAAAATTCAAAGTTGCATCTATTTACTCGACTTCTGTTCTCAATAGCACAGGAGAAATGAAAATCTACAAGCTGAAAACTAAAAGTATAAAGAGAATACTAAGAAGAAGCAGAGTGAAGTTGGTGAGTATGGCTATGCATGGAATAACAAGTGTGAATATAAACAAAAAAGTTCTTACGTTTTGGAACTTGATATCCCTACAATGTCTGACTATCCCGCTCTCATCATTCCCTTACTTTTTTCCTTTTTTCTTTTTGTTGTGGGAAGAGGATGAAAATGGGGGGAAATGAGTTAAGATTTTATCAGAGAAGTCGTCTTTAGATTCAATTACAGAATGTGTCACCTCAACTTATTCTTTCATTGTCTCCATTACTTAGCATTCTATTGTTCGTCAAGTAAATTAAGCTTAAAGAAAGCTGAAAAGTCCGAGTCTGAAATATTGTAACTTTTCTTTTCTTTTTTAAAATAATGATATTATCTATTCAGTACTGTGTGAATTTCTCGCTTGGTTACCTAGGACAGATTCTTCTATTTTCTTCTTTTCGCGATATGTGGCTTTTGTGTTGTCCTTAGAATCAGAAAATGGTTGTCCAATTAGCTCAATCCTTTTATTGTCTTCTCACTAACAGTAAGGGGTATAGTTCTTTTTTCTCTTATTAGAATCCGTCCGAATAATATTACTTTTTATGAATCTCTAGCATTTCATTTTGTTAGAGCTCTCATAAGTTGTGTATATGTTTAATGATAGTACTTGGTTGTACACTCAACACATATGTCCAAAAAAATAGTAAATAAGCTTACCAAATTTTGCTTACCTGCCTGTAAAGTTATTATTTTTCCTATAAGATTCTTTCAAGGAAGGCCCTCTTCTGGATAAATTTAGAGCGCACCATCTTTCAGCAGGTTCCAGTAATATTCCACTGATTATGCGTGAAAAAGACCTCGCTAAGCCCGTCAGTTAATATAGAGTAATTGCTGCTGCATTTTTTATACCTAACAAGCAGTTGCTTATAATGCCATTCTAAAAAATCTATATGTCGCAATTAGGTTCTGAATTTTCTCCTATTACACAATATGCTTTTCAATATAAAATATTGGTATACTTCAGTAAAAACATTCACTAGCATGAGTTTCCAACACTTCAATATTTCTCTTTCACTCTTACATTTACCCTTTCTTTTGCAGTCCGCGTGTATAGACGCTTTTGGAGCTATGTACATACATGTTTTCCACTACTGCAGAAAAACATGGACCAACTTACTGGGTGAAACATAACGGTCCTGTAACTTGTGTGAATAGTGCTTGCTAAAAGACTCACCAGTAAATATGATCCTTTTGGCTTGAATTTGTTTTCTTCGTTTTATGATCTATTTAAGTTTCTAAATAGAAAAACAAAGTCGTTGTTTGTCCCACTGGTATAAAAAATAAGAAATTTGCAATGATCGCAATCAGTTTAATGCAGTTAATTCGCAATAACTTAAAAGAGATTGCAATATTACTACTATGTTAATGATAATATGCGCTGCCAGAAAATGCGATATCTTCTACTGCATAACTATTGATTACGTATTGATCATTAGTCTTTATACCCAGATCCTTGCTTTTGAACTTCTTAGAGAATAGTTCTACTAACTAACAAGACGTTGTCAGTGGGATTTTCAAATCTGCATTTACTATAATATAACTCATTCTCTATCACAAAAATTGTTTATTATTTTCATCAAAAAAATATCAGTTGCTAACTTATGAAATTTGGGCCCAGGCTCAGCACGGGCCATTTCCCACTAGTATTATATTATTTATTATTTATTATTTATAATAAGTGAAAGACCTTGTGAACGACGAAGGGTAATATCGTCAATTTATACATCAAAGACAACTGGCTTCCACTTTCTCATTCCCGTTTCTTCTAGAACTAGAACTAGAAGGTCCCTGCGCTACCACCAACTTCCATGAGAACTTCCCATATGAAGCTCTGGTTTTCATCTCCTAACATGTAGAAATTTGAGCCCTAACTCCACCTTCCATTTCTAATGGATTCTAATTTTGTATTCATTTACTTTCCTTCTGTCTTTTTCCCCAAAGGCCCATTACAGACTTTGCTTCCTTTTTCGTTTAATTTTCTTAGAAATCCCAAATTGGTTGCTCCATTTCTTTCTTTATCCGATTTTTGGCCTTAGCTTCTAGGTTCGTATCAAAATTATCCATTTTGCTTCCACTTTGTTAGTGACTTCGGTTTCTGATTTCTGGTGAGTTCTATTCCGTTTCCCCTTTTTGAATTGGTCGAGTATATGTTAGTTCTCAAATTCTACTGCATAGTTTCTTACAAGAGTTTGTGCATGCATGTCAACGGTTGAGCTGTATGTTTTGAAATAGATACCTAGGGGCATGTTTCGCATGGTCCAGAGAATTGTTGTATTTTTGTTTTAAGTTCTTTTATAACTTTTTTTGTAGCTTTATTGTATACTCTCCGGTTCACCAATTTGCTTTTGGCACGCCCATTAAGAAAATACTAAATTCTATACAAAAATACCTAGTTTGATTAAACTACCCTTAATTAAATATTTAACGTGAGGAGTAAGAAAACTTTTTAGGGATATGTATATAAGGATAATTTTGTAAAACAAATTGAATTCTTTCTTGATTATATAAATGGACACTTATTTTGAACTAAAATCAAAAAGCAAATTGGTCAAGGGTCAAGGGTTCTAGCAAAAGTGCTCCTTGTAAATGAGGTAAGTCCATTCTTTGCTTGAAATAGCTTGAGAAGAGGTCTAATCAGCACCATGATTCTCACTTCATCTTAACATGGTTGCTTACTGGCTGTGCTATTGCTAAAAATGCGAGTGTTCATAGGTTTTGTGGATCAATGGTAGTAGCAAATACCGTGCCAAAAGAAGATGTCGGTAAATTCTACTGTGGATACATTGTATTGCCCTCTATACTTCACATGACTAGAAAGAAGATTAATTTCACCGTTGATAAATTAAATGATGAGGTCCTTCTGAATGTCACATAGTTATGGCTCTTTGGATCAACATTTAATTGTACTTATGACAAATTATTATTACAAATACAAGCCAGGACAACTCGTTGTGTGAACTGGTATTTTCAGAACCTAGAGCTAGGGGTGTGCATTCGATTTATCGATTCGATTTTGACCCTTATCGATAATTACTTATCGATTATCGATTTGTACATATGCTTATCGTTATCGTTTCAATAAGGTTCGATTTTTTCGATTTCGATTTATCGATTTTGGGGGCTTATCGATTCGGTTATCGATTACACCAGTAAGAAAATTTGCGGGATTCCACGGAAAGTATATCGATATAAACGCGCCTAACTAATATGGACAAAAAGAAGCTAAAATAAGACGAACACCATTTATAATATAAAAATTGTATCAACAAGCACATGCAACAAAACTAAAGTAAGGGATCAAATGTATGCCACCAACACTCTAACGGTATAAAAAAAACAAAACAAAACAAAATACATCATCACGGCTAATTCTGTTTTCCACTAATTTGAACTTCATTCCCTTAGATCTTTAAATATGATCATTTCTTAAATGTGGTAGAGGAAATAATAGGGCAAGAGACTTAGGGTAAAGGAAAGGGTATAGATTAGGGAAAATAATATTGTATAGCCGCTTTCAAAATAGTAGCAGAATATATATACATTATGTATGTTATATTAATCTACACAAATAGGTAATTACTCATTTAACAAGTGTCTACAGTCTAGGGGTGTGCATTCGATTTATCGATTCGATTTTGACCCTTATCGATAATTACTTATCGATTATCGATTTGTACATATGCTTATTATTATCGTTTCAATAAGGTTTCGATTTTTTCGATTTCGATTTCGATAACAAATAATCGATTCGATTTATCGATAAACCGATTCGAATGCACACCCCTACCTAGAGCTACACGATAACACTATGGCAAACGTCAAACTAGATTATTCATCTAATGGAAAAGTCAGGAACAGATCAAGAAGGGAGCTTGATGAACCTCAATTTCAAGAAGTCAGAGATTCAGATTATGTACTTTTGTGGAATTTAAAACTAGATGCATCACAAAACTTGACTTTGTAGTTTAAAATTGTAATGTTCTCTCATTAGGAAGTGGTGCAATATAAAATGCCATACGGATTATACCAACATTGATGAAGAATCATAAATATGAAGAACATAACTGCAGGCGTACTTTTGAGTGACACGTTTTCTTTTGAGTGACATGTTTTCTTTTGAGTTACACGTTTTGTTCATTTATTTGGTTGTTCTTATTCTGACAGTGGATGATGCCAACATTCCCGCCGAGGTTGAAGTACATATGCTGGTGTTTATCATCAGCAAGTTTATCATAGTGAATGTCATTTTTCATGTAAGTATACGAACAGAACCTGCTAGTCTCCCTGAATTCTCATTATTGCTTTGTTAATTTCTCTTTTATAATGATTGTTCTTTTGCGGTTAAAAAATCCCAAACTGGAAAAACTTCAACGACTTTTGGGGGGTTATCTATGAAACTTTTCATATTTATGTTAGGCAAACCAATATAACAAAGTTCACTTTTCTACCTACCCAAATATATGTCTTCTTGTGGCTCTATAGTCAAATACTCAGGGCTACACATTTACAGAAAGTTTGCCAATAATATGAGAAATGGGTTGTCTTTGATAGCTGAAAATACAAAGTGCATCAAGATATTGCCCGACAGAGGCCGTAAAGGAAAAGACAAAAGAACACCAAGTAATTTTACCAGCGTACTTTGTTTATTACTTGCTAAATATGCCATTGGTAGTTGCTGAAAAGAGCAGATTGGAGTATAAATAAAAGAATCTTTTCAATGATAATCCATTAAGGTATAAAATTGTTTAAGTAAAGAATCAAGGATATTAAACATCGAGTTTTTTAAGGCAGTACTCTTTTGGTAAAATTCAGTTCAATTATCTCTCACGCATGAGGAACTTTTAGTTGTATCTGGCAACAGAAATGTTGTTAGTATATGCCTTCCAGGTAAAGTAGTAAGTTATTGCACTACTTCTTTATTTGTCAAGTGAATAGATGATTTTCACATAGGTTCAGGTAGGATCGTTATTGTTTGAGTTAATAGGAATGGCTATCCATGTGAGCTAAATTGTTGATTTTGACTGTAGAAGCCAGCGTGCGATAGGATATGATACTACTATAATTTTTAAGAAGGTGCCTTGATTCTGTCTGAATTATTATGTTGAATGCTGAAATTGATTTTAAGTTTCTGAATTTGTGTTCTCTTTTGCTTGGTTTCGTCAACTGAGGTGAAATTATTTTAAGATTGTCCCCTCCTCTCTATGAACAATAGATGTAATTTGTTAAATATTTTTCATAGTAAGGGTAAAGAAGTCATCGCCGAGTTTCATTCATTCTTTAGAATAGAGAAGTCATCACTGTGTAATTCATTCTCTCGCTCAATATTTTTAGCTGATATTGGACTCTGAACTCTTCTTACTTTTCAAGTTAGAATATTTCTCTAGTTTGTAATTTTAGTTGATTTCTTGATTGAAATTTTTGTTAAATTTAGGTTGTGTTTTGTTTTACCATATTAGAAGGACCTAAGCAGAGGGAAAATGAAGAAATAATTATCAGAATGTTGTCTTTTCCTATGTGTTGATTATTATTATACTTTTCTTAGTTAATGCAGATGTCGTTCTCTTTTCTCTTTTAATTCTTTTTGGTCTTAAAATTTTAACTTAGATTTGTTTTTCTTGTGAGGATTCGCTCTCCCTTATGGTTATGGATATTTTGAGTACATTTATACATATACTAAGAAAGAAAAATATTTGATGGTTAAGAAAATTGAAAAATTATAATTGAGCTGAATTAGTTTGAGTTTTGTCCTTATCTAACTCATTGAGGTGGTTCTTTGTTATTCCAAAGCATAGTGGATTGTTGAAATCTCATCAGCTTTGTCAAATGCAAGCCCAGAATTTTAAGTATCCTCCAGAATGATTCCCATAAAGGTAAGCAAAATTAATGCTGCTTTGTTTTATTGAACTCTGTACTTATTTGAATTTTAAATTTGGTTAGACTTGTAGATTCTAACCTCAATTTCTGTTTCAGGTTCATTAAACTAGGACCTCAATTGCACGATTTAAGGAAGAAAGCTACGAAATAGATGAGTTCATTCTATCTACAAGGTAGAAAATTATTAACTTAATAAACTTTTCTATGTAATTTGGATGTTTGTAATACGATATATGCAACAAAGTTGTTATTAAAATGAAAAAGGAAGAACAACTATAACTAATTGAGTTCAATTCATTTGTTTGGCGTGGTTGTCTTTTTGAAGTAAATTGCAAATTAAAAGTTTGATACATTTGAAGCTTTTGGTCGATATGAATAGCTCCCACTTTTTACTGAGTATGGCATATTGAATTGTAAATAATTGAGCTTATAAGGTTAAAAAGATTTGGATCTCATATGAGACCAGAAGTCTTACTTTATTGATAGTTGTGTCCTGTTTTATTTCTTTATTTGCTCGCTAGGGTCAATGTCTCAATAATAGTTAATATAATAAATGTCGATTTGTAGCAGAAAAATAATTTCATGCTTATTCTAGAGGTTTAAGGTCACTATTATAGAAGAGAATAGAGAATATTTACTTTTCCTTGGTGTTTGCTAAATGATTGCAACCTCTAATAAAATAAAATAGTTTTCATCTAGCTTTTGAATGAAGGGATGAAATGAAATATATGTTTTTAGACTCTTATTGAAAAACTTATTAAAGGAATATTTATAGTATATGTTTTATTGTTAACATGGTCTTTTGACTTAGAGGCAACACATTCTAAGTTAAACTTAGAATATTTGTAATAATTTAAACAAAAGGAATGTGCGTAGCAAAAAGTTAACAACTATACAAGGGTTCTAGCTACTCTTAGACTAGCAAAAAGAGTCTCACTGGCATATTGAATGGTGTTGTATTATGATTTATTAATCAATATAAGAATATACTTTCATTTTTTATCATCACTTTTTTTAGAAATCTCATAAACTCAATAGTCGACATATTGTTATAAAAGTATGTGATGTTCTGTTATTTCTATGTCACTACGAACTTCAAGCATCTACTCCAATATTCGTTAGATTATCAAGTAGCACATTAGTTTTGGGTTCGTCTAGATATTCTAGATTCCAAATACACCCTTTTCAAAGATTTAAGCTTACTTGAGGTTCATTTTGTACTCTAAGGTTTAAGTTGGTAGTTCTGTATTGCAGGAGGAGACTTGAATTTGTTGATTTTTGTACAAATCCCCCCTTCTTATAAGGACTAATGTAAAAACTGAGGTTCATTGAAGTTAGCTACAGGTGGAAGATGGCACAACTGGGAGATACAGGACTTTCTGCAGTTAGAAGTATCCTCTCTGGCACTTATCTTCCTTTTGTCTTTTGCTATTTTACTATTTTGCTGCTTCAACCAATCAATGACGGAGTGTACCTCCCAAAACGGTGTCTTAAGGATTTGGGAAACATTTCGACTACTCTAGAGCTTTTGTGAAAAAATGTTAATTTGAACTGGACAACATATTTAAGGTTTCTGACATGGTAGCAAATGCACTGAACACGCCTGAATCTGGAATCATGGATCATACATGAGTGGACTCTGCTGTTTATTTACAGATCTACTTGATTAGGGTATTATTTATATGATTTGTATTCCATCTGTCTTTGTTTCTACCGACAGTACAATATATAAGATTGCAAACTCAACTTTTCTTTTATGTTCTGGTTTGTACATTTATATTTTGATAACCAAGACCCCATGTAAGCTTTTGTAACCAAAATATGGATTGGTGGCTGAAGCATTTGCATGTCATGTACATCTATAGCAAAGCCTATTAGTCGATTGGCCTTATATAAACTCAGACCAACTTAGTGGTGAGATGGTGTCCAAATGAAGAGATCTAATGGTGTCCAAAGGAAGAGATATCTAAACTAACTTACTTGTCCAAGTTGTAAACAAGTATGCAAGGTATTGTGTGGCAGCTTTAGTGGTTTGAAATTTGGAGACAAAATGTAGGACGGATGTCCGGAGATAGCACGGGCACACATCATCTAGTCTAGTATATAAGACAAGGCAACCGAGCTTATTGGATCAAACTTGGACGGATCAACTCAAGCAAATTAATAAACGAAGTATTGTCTAACTCGCACGTCCACTTGTTTCAAGATGGTCAACTAACAAATATAATTCCAACAACAACAAAAAATACAATGTAGGGGCGGCCCGACGAATTTTGTGGTCTAAAGTCAAATTTTACGAGGGGCCTTAAATTTTTTTAATTATTATTTTCTTAATTTGAAATCCATTTTTTTATTATTTTTGGCAGAATAGCCTAAATGGCACCTATGCTTGTATCACTTTGTCATCCCGGTCCCTATATTCAATGAAGTTTCATCCAAACACCTGAACTCAGTCAAAACATGTATTTTAAATCCCTCTAACCGTTGACTGAGCTTATGTGTCATTGATTTTGCTGAGTCAGAAAAATGAGTGATTACACGCTCTAAAAATGAGAGTGGATATTTTTATTTTGATTTAAAAATACTAAAAATAATAAAGAATAACCATAAAAAAGAAAAAAAGTAAATTAATTTCCCAACCCAACCCAAGTACTCTACCCATTTCCCAACCCTTCGTCCTTATTCCCTCTGTTTCTCCCCATCTTCTTCTCCCCCCTCTTTCCTGTTTACAACAGACTAAACAGGTGGTGGCCAAGTAATATAGCAATAAAATTAATAGTATAAAAAAGAGAAGAATTTTCTTCTAGGGAATCTAAATAAATAGATCTGTTAATCGGGTTAAAATTTTTAAAGATATCAAGAAGTTATGGCCAAGTAATTTTCGTGTTCATCAATCCAATGTGGTCATGGATTTTCCGCAGGAGTCTGGTGAGTGGAGAAATAGGTGGTGGAGTCCGCTAATGGTTAATTTTCAGCGATGTAGTCCTTTGTTTTCCAGTGACGGTAGCTGCTTGTTGGTTGTTTCCCCTTTTTGTGTCTCTGTAAATCAAGATTACCCTTGTGTCTCTGTAAATTCTAAGTCCTTTGTTTTTTGTCATGGTATGCTGCTCGTTGTTGCAAGATAAATTTTTTTTTTTTCAAAATTGAAGAATTTTATGTATATGAATTGGGGTTTAAGATTGTGCTCAGAAAGGAGAAAAGAGAGCAAAACGGTGAAGGCGACTCCGATTTTTCGGTGATAAGGGTCGCTGGCAGCATAGGAAGATGGTGATGGATTTGATTTATTAAAAATTAATTTTTAAATAAATAAAGATGTGGCATTGATTTATCTGATGTGTACATGATATTTCCTCCATGTCAGGCGAGTGACCAACACGTAATGCCGAAGGGGTTTAAAATACATGTTTTAACTGAGTTTAGGTGTTTGGATGAAACTTCATTGAATACAAGGACCGGGATGACAAAGTGGCACAAGTATAGATGCCATTTAGGCTATTCTGCCATTATTTTTTTAGATTCAAAGTTATTAATAATTTTTTTGTAATCATTTTTTTCTAATAATTCTTTCTCAATTGACAATATAGTTATCTCTTCAGACATTATTGAGCTTAGTTAAGATTTTATCAATTTTAATTTTGAAAAATTTCTTTTTGTTGAAGTAACGGTAACATGAGTTATTAACATTATTCTATAAACAATTTGGAAAAGAATCAAATCTTTTTATTTGATTGAGTATATCAATTAAATTGTTATCTTCTAGTTGTACTATTTTCTTAACACTTTTAACTTAGAAAATAAATCTAAACCATCATCAATATCATATTGATTATTATGCTTCAAGGAACACTCAAGATTAAGGCAGTATTTTTCTAAATTTCATCATCTAGTGATCTCAGTTTTTTGCACTAAATAGAAAACAAAAAAATATTTTCATATGCTTCGAATTGTTCAATTTATTTTGAAGTGAAAAAAATTGTCTTTTCTACTATGTATAAAAAGTAATATAACTCTAAAGGTGTGACGACCCAAATGGTCATCACTTGTTTCCTTACTCACCCTGTACTTCTGAGGCCCTGAAAACCTCATTTGGGGTTGCCTCGATTTGTGTGCGCAGTCCGGGCGCGTAGCCGAAAAGTTTAAATATGGAATTCGTGAGAAAAATGTTAAATCTTGGTATTTAATTGATTAAGTTTGACTTCGGTCAACGTTTTGGGCAAACAGACCCGGACCCATGATTTGACGGTTCCGGAGGGTCCGTAGGAAAATATGGGACTTGGGTGTATGCCCGGAATCAAATTCCGAGGTCCCAAGCCCGAGAAATGAATTTTTGTGTGAAATTGTTTTCTGAAAATAATCAAGGAAATTGGAAATGAAATTTGATTAAAAGACTGTGGTATCGGGCTCGTATTTTGGTTTCGACGCCGGGTACAAGTCTTATATACGGCTTAAGTACTTTCTGTAAAGTATGGTTGAATTTGGACGTTGTTTGACGTGTTTTGGACTAAAAAAAACTCTAAACTTGATGTTTTATGAAAATTGGAAGAAAATCCCGGGTCTTGAGGCCTAATTTGATGATTATGATGTTGTTTGGGCGATTTGATCGCACGGATGAGTCTGTAGGATATTTTTGAGTTTATATGTATGTTCGGTTTGGAGCCCCGAGGGCTCGGGTGAGTTTTGAGTAGGTCCCGGGATGTCTTAGGCTTAGAAACAGCAGATGGTTGCAGGTTCAGGGATTGCAGGCCCCCAGCGCGCCAGCGGTCGACTCCGCGCGGTCCGCGCTGGAAGCCGCGCGGCCACAGTGCATTTCTGCGCGGTCCGCGTAGCTAGGTTCAGAGGGCCAGCGGTCCTAGGTCGACCAGCGCGGCCGCGTGCCATATCAGCGCGGTCCGCGCTAGGAGATTCAGAGAGTGGGATTTGGTTCATTCCTCCAGCTCGGTCGCGCTCCAAAACAGTGCGGTCCGCGCTGGGTGGGTTCAGAGAGGGTCATTTTCCAGTTCCTCTGCGCGGCCGCGGTGCACTTTTGTGCGGTCCGCGCTGAGCCTTCAGTAGGCTATAAAAGGTCGGGATTTTGAGTTATTTTTCACTTTTTCAAAACCCAAAACATAAGAGGCGATTTTTCAAACGATTCTTCTTTTTCAAAACGATTGGTAAGTGATTTCTAACTTATTTTCCTTACTCCTTAACATCTTTAAACATAATTTCAATTTCAAAACAAAGTTTTAATGGGAAAATTTGGGAATTTAGGGCAGAACCTAGGTTTTCTAAAATTGGGGGTTTTGGATCTCGATTCGAGGTCCGATTCCAAAATAACCTATATATTTGAGTTCATGGGGGAATGGGTAATCGGGTTTTGGTTCGAACCTCGGGTTTTGACCATGTGGGCCCGGGGGCATTTTTGACCTTTTGGGGTAAATTGATGAAAAAGCTATAATTAGTCATCAGGTTTGATTTGTTTAGCACATATTGATAACATGAAGTCCTTATTGCATAGATTTGGTCGAGTTGGAGCCGAATTCGAGAGGGAAAGCAGTTGTTGACGATTGAATTGACTGTGAAAGTTCGAGGTAAGTTTTTGGTTTAACCCTAGCTTGAGGGAATAGGAGTGAATCTTGTTGCTACTTGCTACTTGATCGAGTGCGATGTATAGGCACGGTGACGAGTTCCTATATATCGGTGTCTAGCATGACCGTGAGTCCTTATTTGTGGATAATTGGGTTAATATCATGCCTTCCATGCTTATTTGATGGTTTCTATATGTTGTAAACACCTTGTGAAAGATATTGTGATTGTGAAACTCCGTGGAGCATTGGCTCGGCTTGAAATACGAACTTAGGAAAGTAAATGATGATAAACTCTTGGGAGTTTTGGCTTGAGTGGAAAGGTGAACTAGGATATGGAAATAAAAGAAAGAGAAGAGTAGTGACTTACCCCTTGCCGGGTTGTTGTTGGTTGTTTGGGTATCCATTGTTGGGATTTCCTTCCAAATACTTGTTTATTCCCTTGCCCCTAGTTCGTGATTGTGCTTGGGTGAGGTAGAGTGATAAATGTGGATCGGGTTGCACGCCGCAACAGTGATAAATATGGATCGGGTTGCACGCCGCAATAGTGATAAATACGGATCAGGTTGCACGCCGCAACGGTGATAAATATGGATCGGGTTGCACGCCGCAACAGTGATAAATGTGGATCGGGTTGCACGCCGCAACTGTGTTGAAATGATATTGTGGATCGGGTTGCACGCCGCAACAGTTATTGATGCAAAATGTGTTTATTGTTGGTATTAGTTTCCTGTTCGCTATCAATTATGAGTTGCCTCAGACTGTTACTTTGGCTTTACTGTTAATACTGTTATCTCCCCATAGCATGTTTCCCCTCCCATATTGTTAATTGCCTTGTATTTCGTTTTCTGTTGTACATATATAGAACTGCACAGGTTATGTGGTGACCAGTCTAGCCTCGTCACTACTTCGCCGGGGTTAGGCTAGACACTTACCAGCACATGGGGTCAGTTGTGCTGATGCTACACTCTGTGCATCTTTTGCACAGGTCCAGGCTTTGAGCAGCAGCAGCAGCAGCAGCATGGGGGCTTACCTTCAGTCCAGAGAGACCCGAGGTAGCTTGCAGGCGTCCGCAGGTCCGTCGACTCCCTTTTATTCTTATTTGACTGTCATCTCATTGTACCGGGATAAACAGATTATATTTTCTTCAGACTTTGTATGTAGTATTCCATAGACGTTCGTGAGTATGTGACTCCAGTCCCGGGGTAGAGATATATGTGTTGGAACTTCTGTATTATTGATCATTTATCTACATTTAA